CCTCTGATTTGTTTTCAAAACCTCAGATATCAATTCTTTTTTTTTTTTAAAGATTTATTTATGCACACAAGAACTGGGGTGTAGGCTAGAGGTATGGGAGGTGAGAGGATTCACCAGACAGAGTAGGGAGCAGAACAGGTGGATCTATTGAAATATACTGCTGAGGGGAGCAGAGGGCGAGTCAGGAGAGGTCTGCTGTGCCATGTGGGTAGCTCCCTGGCCGGGGAGCGAACTTGGGCTGCAGTGGCTGCTGATAGCTTGATAGTGGAGACATAGCCCCTGCGTCATCACCAATGAGGGCCTTAGACTTCAATTCTTATAATATCCCCTCAGTTTTTCTTGTAGGCCAATGCAGACAACTAACACAGAGGCCACTCCCCATTTGCAAACAGCCCTGTGAGTGTCTCTTCATCACAGGGCTGACCTGCCTTTGCTTCTTTACAAGATTCTGGCCTCCTTTCTGACAGTTGATGTTAATTGTGAGATGAAGTTTGCATTTAGTCACTTCCATGGCAACATTGATCAGGGAATTGACACTTTTTTTTTTTTTTTAATTTTCTAGAGGCATGTCTTATTTATTTATTTATTGTTTGTTTGTTTGTTTGATACATGCACTGGGTACAGTCAGAAGCGTGGGAGGGTGAGAGAATTCACCAGAGCCAGAGCGGGGAGCAGAGCAGGCAGAAGGACCGAAGTACACTGCTGAGGGGAGCAGCGGGCGGCAGGAGAGGTCTGCGCGCCATGTGGGACCCTCCTCTGGTGGCCGGGGAGCAGCCGGGGATCGAACCGGCTGCAGAGGCTGCAGGCAGCTTCGCAACCCAGCGCTCAACCGCTGCGCCACCGGGGAGGCCCCAGGGAATTGACACTTTTATTTTCTAATTACAAAGCTCCTTGGGGAAAGGGTTTAATATTTCATTTCAATAGGTACTAGAGGTACATTGGTGACAAAGAATGGAGTTCTCGCTTACAGACCAGAGGGAGAAGAGAGCAGTCATTTCAGACAGTGTTGGGGGCAAGGCCACATGTGGGACCAGTGGAAGGGCACCTGGGCTAGAATGGGGCAGGAGGTGTGGGCAGGAGCTGTGTTGGGGGAAGCTTCCCGGAGGGGTGAGATAACTTAGGGAATTGATGACTGGTCTCTAATAGGAACAGGGTATCATTATATCATTAGCAGGTATATAAAAAACAGTGTACTATAGTGACAGAAATCAAAGATGGCGGTGCTGAGGTGGGGTTGACTAGAAAGGAAGACAATACAAATGTCCTACATCTTGTTTTAGGTGATGACTACATCAGTGTACATGATTGTCAAATTGTTACAGAGCAACCCCCATATAAAACGGGTTGCCTAACTGTGGGTCCTCACCCGCACACTTAAAGGGGACTTATTAATGCTAAATTGCAGACACACACAAAAGGTTGATAAAAGATTTATTTACAAGGGAAAGAGAAATGGGGAAATGAATAAGTCAGGGAGAAAAAGAGGGAGATAAGTTCATATATGCATCCTAACTGTTCTGCTGACCTGGAATCCCAATGACCCACCAAGCTGGTGAAAAACTGAGTGCTCCATATGGCCAAGAGAGAGACCCCAGGCCACATGGCCAGTTAAATACTCAAACAAAGAACATAGCTGCTTAACTCCGCCCTCAAGTCCTCACAACCTTCCTTTTGGTGATCATGGGATTTGTAGTTCCCAGTGTCTTGATGGAGAGGGGGTGGAGTCCACAAAGCCTGTATGGAGTTTGCTCAGGACATTCTTTCCCCCTAACAAAATCATCTGGTGGAATACTTCAAATCTACGTTAGATGTAAATTAAACATGAAGTTTATTGTGAAAAGCTTTCTAAATATCAATATGTAGAAAGATCCTCAAGATATGTTAAGTGAAAGAAGCAAGGTAGAGGCAGATCTTCTGTCTGTACAAAGAACCATGGGTGAGGACCTGCAGCTGGGTTGGCCTGGTAAGAGTTGAGCAGCTGGCATTGGAGATTTTTCACATAAACTGTTTTATACCTTTTGCTGTTTGAACCACAAAAACATTTTTCTTGTTCAAAAAATTAAAAAGAAAACACATTGAAACATCAATGAAGAGAATTAAAACTGAGAAGTAAATAGTTTCTTTATTCTTTATAGCAGGTATTTATTTACCAATGAAATGATTTTAAGCTTCCCAGCACTGCTCTGTAACTAGCTGGGATTATGTGCCACCCTGGAGCAGGCATTCCCTCAGCTCAGCTAAGGCCTCTGAGTCTTCCTGAACCCTCTTCCCATCAATTTCTGGTACCTCAGAGGAGACATTATTTACAGTCCTTGAGGGAATCTGGATAATGTCCTTGGGAGATAAATGGCTTCAGTTACAGGCTTTTCTTAAAGGGTCAGTGTGCTATACAGAGGCTAGGGCACTCGGAACAAATGTAAGCAAGGTATAGTTTTTTAAAAAGGTTTTTGAGAAGAATTAAGTAGTGTCTGTTACTTGCTTTTCCTACTGGTGGGCTGAGCATGGACCTGGGTTTGGGGTAGGGTCAGAGGATTGGGGTTGGAGGGTAGGAAATGGCATACAGGATTGGGCCCTGATAGAACAGAAATCCTGCCTTTCTTTCACCTCATTTTAGTACCTCCTTTCTATGTGCAGAGACTGACAACACTTCTGTGGTTAGTAGACCAGCAGAAATGCCTCTCACAGCTCTGGACCCCCTTCCTGTGGTTTTATTTCTCTGAGTCCTAGTTCTCCGCCCATTGATCCTATAGGGGGCAAGGTTGAGAATGCCCAAACTGCCAGCGTATCTTTAATAAACACCACGCAGCCTCTGTTCCTTCAAACATTTCTTACTTTCTCCTTTCATACTGTTTACCTTTCAAATGAAGGTGCTGTTAGTTTTTCTCCTGGGAGACTGAGAAGAATGAAAAAGCTTTGGGAGCCATCTTGTATATTCCAGTAAAGAGACTTATAATAATAGCATCTCACATTGCTTCTGCATATTGTTACTTGGATGCTTTAAACTCTTTCCTTGCCAAAATACAGAAGATATATTTTGTATTATGTTATTAGCTGATGTAAATGCAAACATCTTATCAAAGTAAAAATAATTCTTGGTGCCTATCGAGTTTTAATAATTCTTGGTGCCTATCCCATGCCTCATTCTTGGGATGCCTGCTTATACCCTGATCCCCTAAAACTTGACACTTAAGGTCTGGCAATAGCTTTCTTGAGCACTGAATTGAGAATTATAAGGCTGTAGGTACATGAGCTGTACTTATGCTCTGTGCGCAATGTGCTGTGATTGATTACTGATGTCTGCTATGGTGTTGGAGAAAGAAGTGGTGTCTAATTCTAGGTTTTTGCCACACTTTCCTTGGTCAGTCTACCCTAAATTTCTTTATGTGTTATACAGTACCTAGGATTTTTTACTAAGTATCAGTTCAATAAATATTTGCTTATTTGCTTTTTTTTTTTTTTTTAAGTTTGCTCTTCTGGAAACATGATTCTCCAAACAAGTAAGTCTACCTTTACAAGCACAAGGCTACTGACATGAGACTTATTTCTGCCTAATAGTAGGCACTGAGGTCTGATTCCTGTTCCTTTCTCCTCCCTTGAAAGAACCCTGGCTTAGCTCCTTTGCTTCATAGATTGTGATCCATGCTGCAGATTTTAAAGATCTCCTCTCACAGTTCCTCGGCAGATAAGGACACATTCTTAGTGCTGTTCTTTGCAGCCCTGATGAGAATCTTGAAGTATTTACTATACTCATCATTCATGTGTAGCCTACTGTTTAAAACAGTATTGGTGGCTAAACACATAAACTAGATGCCATGTGCCCAGTGTTCCTAGTGTTTACATATATTAGTTCATTAAACCCTGTGAGATAGTTACTATTATTATCTTTCCTGTTGGAGCTCACAAAGGTTAAATAACTTGACCAAGTGCACACTGTTGCTAAGGGGAAAGCCAGGTTTCTGGCCTTACGCAGTCTGGCTATGAGGTACACTACGCACTTGAGTAGGAGACCAAGATCTGCATGTTTTTGAGAAGTTACTTCTCTGGACTGATTTCCCCATCTTTAAAATGCAGGGTTGGACAGGATGTTTAAGATCCCTACAAGCCCTAGCTTATTTGATTTGAAGTTACATAATGAAGACAGCTTTGAGCCACTCTCGAACTCACTAAGAAATTTGATCAATAAGCTCTGCTTGTGCTGGAAATGTAGACTGAAGATGTGAACATTTTCTTAGCACACACCAAAATTGTAGCTTATTAAGTAAGAGAAATTTATTTTCCCAAACAGAGGACACCAGTAATTATGTTTAATTACATATTGAATGGTTTTCCTGTTGTGTCAACCCATTGTCTTAATTGTGCTTAAGAACAGCAGGCTATTAATTTGAGGTCTGTGAGTTTTAAAATTGCTTTGTGTCTCAGTATAAGGATTACGCAAGAGTTTAGGGATGGGGTCTGGAGTTAGAGAAACTTGGTGTAAATTCTGGATTTGCCACGTACTGAAAATCCTGACTTGTTCCATAACTTCTTTAAACATTGGCTTCCTCATATTGGGAATAACAGTGTCATCAACCCCGTGAGGTATTGTGAAGATTGAAGAGCATTAATATGAGATGTGTGGTACAGCATTTGGCATGTAAACCTTTCAGTTGTTGGCTAGCATGATGAGATGTTGATGATGGGCAGTCTCTGGACTCATTCCAGACTTCAGCTCTGATAGAAAGCCCTGCCTGGGATGTATCTGTGGTCTAATCTAGATGGATTGCTGCTGTTCTGAATGACTTCTGACACTTCAGTGCTGTTGTCTATCTTGTTTCAATGTTATGTGTCTAATCTCATTTTTAAAAAACTTAGACTGGAACTAAGAAATTAATCAACCACTGAGGAAATCACAATTGTTAACAAGTCTCCTCAAGAGAATCATGAGGGAATAAGTGCTAACCCTAGTATTCAGCAGGAAAATTATCTTGGTAGTTGGTAATTTTAGTCAGTACACAGACATGATAATATTGAATCATATAGTGAGCATTTATTTTCTTTTCATTCCTTCCAGTCCTACTGATTCTGTCAAAGAGAGAACCCCGCTTGGTGCTAGTCTTTAATCTTCTAATACTTTGGAATTTCCCTTTTAACAAAAGAACATAGCAGATCTTAGGTTTGGAATCTATGGTGGGCAATGATATATAGCTAGAATTCTTTAATATTGCATTGCTTTCATTGTATTTCTACTGCTTTCTATTTATAGCATGTACTGATAATAGTAATACAAAAGTATGAAAGCATATTTAGGGAAAAATGAATTGATTTAAAGAAAGATGCTGAATTTAAAGTAATGGATGGAATGTGATGATGGCAAACTTTGTGGTGGTAGCATAATGGAGCAATGGTTTGGAGAGAGAAGATTGACAAAAACTTCATCCTGGAAAGGTGAATGATTAGAAAGAGGAGAAATGAGAGGTGCTGAAGGAGAGACACAAGCATGCAGAGCTATAGGAGGAATCTTCTCAGAAGGGGCAGATTCTGGTCGAGGGGCAGATTCTACGGAGAGAGCAGTAAAATAATGGCAGAGGAGAAGCAGCTGGGTTTGCTGATGGGACTCTGTGGCCCTTTCCTGTGGTCTTTCAGCCAGAGGACTGGTGTAGGTTAGGAATGAGTTAGAGGAAGCAAGCAGGGATAAAGAATAAGACTCAGTTCCTACTGCCCCCCACTCTGCCCCAGCCAGAGGAGAGTGGGAAGTCACCTCATCTGCTACCAGTAAATTTTAGCCAATTCTTGATGTTTAAATATTTCAACAGGAAAGGAGGGAGGAGAGCAAGTATGAGTGTCTAGGGGGGAGCAAATGGCTGTGAAAATGGAGACTGAGGGAATCTATGCAAATACTGACTCATTGATCTATTGGAAGTCCCAGGGGAGGGAGGTGCCCTGCTCTGCGCACTTTTACCTCAGGAAGGGTTTGAGGCTTAGGGTGTCATATTTCAAGAAAGCTAAGAAAAACAATGATGGTAGCAGCTGCCATGCAAACCCATTAAAGGGGGATTAGTCTAAAGTCAACTGTTTTGGGCCCTCTGGTGCTGTGTTGTGAGCATTTTTTAAGTAAGGAAGCATGGCAGAAAGCCATTCCTTTAACTGGCTACCTGAGGAGAAGGGGGGAAGTCTCCACCTGCGTCACAGAGACTACTTTCTCCTCAAAGGTATTGCCAGCGAAGAAGGATGGCCTGCCGTTTCCTCATCGAAGACACCCGCTGTCTCTGGTGAAGGTCCCAGGTGTGGAATAACAGGCATGGAAAGGGCCCAGCTGCTCATTAACCCCAGAGATGGGGCCTCTTCTTGTCTGGACTGCTGTACCCATGTGTTTGTGTCTCTTGCATCTTCTTCCTGTATGAACTGGATCACAGAGCATGTGAGAACAGAGTGACGACTGGGCCTGAAAATCATCTGGAACAAATCTAATCTAGAAAGAGAAGGGAAGTCATTTTCTTTGTGTGGCGGTAATCCCAGTGCTCCCCTAACCTCATGTCTAAGCCTGTGGGCAGCAGTAGAAGAACAGGAAGAGGAAGCGGGGAGTTGGCTGATGTGGAGCTGGATTTGTGGCTGCAGTGGCCCTTAAGGAGGAAGGTGAGGCGGTAGGGAGTAGAGAGTGCCACTATGCCCCCGTCCCTGCTCCCATCTTATTGTGGCCCACAGCCAATTGAAGTGGTTAGAGTCATATGCCATGAGTGGGAAGGGGGTCTCTCAGCAGACTCCCAAGTGTTAAAGCCAATTTTCTGTCATTTGATTCATCTAGAGACCCAGTCCCAGTTTCCACCAGGCTGGAAGTCCCTGTGGGACACTTGTGACTGATCCACCCTCCAACCCCCGTCTCAAATCTTTTAACTTACTCCATTGTTGCTGCCATTTACATAAAACATTTTGGCTGAACTGGATTTACTCTTATTTCAGTGTTGCCCACCAACACAGATATGGAGTTGCCTGGAAAAAGCATCTAGTGTTTACCAGAGTTGATTGTAGACTCTTAGGCAGCTCAGAGGCTTACTTTCAGAATCACTATGCACATGCATTTTCCATAGAAGTGCTTTGGAGACAGAGGAGGTTTGTAAGCCTGTCCCCTTCCCTCTAGAAAGCTGCCATTTGGGGAGAAGACATGTTGTTTCAAAAAGGGGAAAATAACCAAAGGGGGAAAAAAAAGACTTCTGAACAGGTGAGATTTGAAATGGTTTTGGAAGAGTGGGGATAAGAGGAGTCATTTGTGGTTTGGCAATACCCGAGCAGATACCCGAGCTCCCCTGCATCCAGCCAGCTTCTGTCCTTTAGACATCGCTTATCTCATTCTTTTTTTTTTTTTTTTTTTTTTATATAGAGGCATGCTTTATTTATTTGTTTGCTGGTTTGTTTGTTTGTTTTGTTTATACATGCACTGGGTACAGTCAGAAGCGCGGGAGGGTGAGAGAATTCACCAGAGCCAGAGCGGGGAGCAGAGCAGGCAGAAGGACCGAAGTACACTGCTGAGGGGAGCAGCGGGCGGCAGGAGAGGTCTGCACGCCATGTGGGACCCTCCTCTGGTGGCTGGGGAGCAGCCGGGGATCGAACCGGCGCCGCAGAGGCCGCGGGCAGCTTCGCAACCCAGCGCTCAACCTCTGCGCCACCGGGGAGGCCCAGCTTATCTCCCATTCTTTATCTTCACCTACCAGGCTGAAGGTGACAGTCTTTTTTTTCTGTCCTCAAGGGAGAGGGAGAGCAGCTGTCTCAATTTATTTAAAAAAATAGCAAGATTCCTCTCCACCATACAAAATACAGCTAGGTTCATCAATTTAGTTTCTTGTTTTTGTTTTCTTTTCTTTTCTCTTTTTATTTATTATTATTTTTTATTTTTTACATCATTGTCCCCATAGAGTTTCCTTCACCAATGCACCCGTACTCCATCACCTCAGTCCCCTGTGCCCCTCCCTCCCTCTGATCCCTCTCCCTCCTCCTCCCCTGCAGGATGTCTCTGATTTATAATTGTCTGTTTTTGCTTTGTTGTGTTTTGTACTGTTGTTATTGTCTTTACACTGATGTCTTATTTGGTTCCCCTATATTCCTCCTATAAGTGAAATACTCCCAATATTTTTTCCTTTTCCTTCTGGCTTATTTCACTGAGCATAATTCCTTCTAGCTCCATCCACATTGCTGCGAATGGCATGAGTTTATCTTTTTTGATTGCTGAATAATACTCCATTGTGTATGTGTACCACATCTTCTTGATCCAGTCATCTATTTTTGGGCATTTGGATTGTTTCCAAGTTTTACCTATTGTAAATAGAGCTGCAATAAACATAGGGGTACAGGTGTTCTTTTGAATCAATGTTTTTGTGTCCTTTGGGTAGATCCCTAGGAGTGGAATTGCCGGGTCATATGGTAGCTCCATTTTTAGTAGACTGAGGAAACTCCACACAGCTTTCCATTGTGGTTGGACCAGTTTGCACTCCCACCAACAATGTAGGAGAGTTCCTTTTTCACCACATCCTCACCAACATTTGTTTTGCTTTTTTTTTTTTTTTTTGATATGTGCCATTCTAAGGTGGTATCTCAATGTGGTTGTGATTTGCATTTCCCTGATTATAAGGGATGTTGAACATTTTTTCATATGCCTGTTGGCCATTAGCATTTCCTCTTTGGAGAAATGTCTTTTAAGTTCTTCTGCCCATTTCTTGACTGGATTGTTTATTTTGTTTTTGTTGAGCTGTGTGAGTTCTTTGTATATCTTTGTGATCAGTCCCTTATCAGTTGAATGGAGTGCAAAGATTTTTTTCCCAATCAGTGGGGTGTCTTTCTGTTTTGTTTAATGTCTCTTTGGCTGTACAGAAGCTTTTCAGTTTGATGTAATCCCAGGTGCTTATCTTTTCCTTGACTATCTTTGCTTTGGGTGATGAGTCTTTAAAGATGTTATTGTGATATGTGTCTTGTAGTGTTTTACTTATATTTTCTTCTATATATTTTATGCTTTCAGGTCTTATGTCCAGTTCTCTTATTCATTTTGAGTTGATTTTTGTGCACAGTGAGAAGTGGTCTAGTTTCATTTTTTTGCATGTGGTGGTCCAGTTTTCCCAGCACCATTTATTGAACAAACTGTCCGTGTTCCATTGCATGTTCTTTGCTCCTTTGTCAAAGATCATGGTCATATAAGTGTGGCTTTATTTCTGGGGTCTGTCTTCGGTTCCATTGGTCTGTGTGTCTGTTTTTATTTTAATTCTTCACTGTTTTAATTATTATGACTTTGTATTATGGCTAGTCTAGCTTGAAATTTGGAAGTGTGATATCTCCTTTCTCTGTTTTGCTTTGGCTATTCGTGTTTTTTTTTGTGGTTCCATATGAATTTCATCAGTATTTGTTCTATTTCTTTGAAAAATGTCATTGATATTTTTATTGGAATAGTGTTGAATCTGTATATTGCTTTCGGTAGGATGGATATTTTAGTAATATTAATTCTTCCAATCCATGAGATGTCTTTCCATTTCTTTGTGTCTTCTTCTATTTCTTTTAAGTGTTTTATAATTTTCTTTGTATAGGTCTTTCACCTCTTTTGTTAGGTTTATTCCCAGGTATTTGATTTTTTTTGTTTCAGTTATAAAAGGGATGGTTTTCTTGATTTCTTCTTCAGATTGATTGTGTATAGCAAGCCTACTTATTTTTGTGTTGATTTTGTATCCTGCTAACTGAACTGGCTGATTATTTTGAGTAGTTTTTCTGTGGAGTTTTTAGCATTCTCTACATATATTGTCATATCGCCTGCAAATAGTGATAGTTTTACTTCTTCTTCCCTATCTGGATTCCTTGTATGTCTGTCTCTTGTCTTATTGCCCTGGCTAGGACCTCCAGTATTATATTGAAGAGCAGTGGTGAGAGAGGACATCCTTGTCTTGTTCCTGATCTTAAAGGAAAGGCCTTCAACTTTTCACCATTGAGAATAATATTGGCAGTGGGTTTGTGGTATGTGGCTTTTATCATGTTAAGGTATGTTCCTTCTATCCCGAGAATTTCAAGGGCCTTCATCATAAATGGATGTTGGACTTTGTCAGATGCTTTCTCAGCATCTATTGATATGATCATATGGTTTTTATTTTTTCTTTTGTTGATGTATTGGATTGCACTGATAGATTTTTGTATGTTGAACCATCCTTGTGCCCCTGGGATGAATACCACTTGATCGTGGTGTACTATCCCTTTGATGCATTGTTGGATTCTGTTGGCAAGGATCTTGTTGAGGATTTTTGCATCAGTGTTCATTAGGGAGATTGGCCTATAATTTTCTTTTTTTGTGCTGTCTTTGTTTGGTTTTGGTGTTAGTGTAATGTTGGCTTTGTAGAATTTATTTGGTAGTATTCCTTCTTTTTCAGTTTTTTGAAAGAGTTTGTGTAGAATAGGCACTAATACACTGCTGGATGTTTGGTAGAATTCATTTGTGAGGCCATCTTGACCTGGGCTTTTGTTTTTGGGGAGTGCTTTGATTACTGCCTCAATTTCACTGCTTGTAATTGGTCTGTTTAGTTCTATTTCTTCTTTGTCCAGCTTTGGATGATTATATTGTTCTAGGAATTTGTCCATCCCTCTAGGTTGTTTGTTTGCATATAAGTGTTCATAGTAATCTCTGATTATTCTTTTGATTTCTACTGAGTCTGTTGTGATTTCTCCTCTTTCATTTATAATCCTATTTATATGTGTTTTCTCCCTTTTTTTTTGGTGAGCCTGGCTAGAGGTTTGTCTATTTTGTTTATTTTTAAAGAACCAACTTTTGGTTTCTTTGATCTTTTGGATTGTTTTTTAAATTTCCATTTTGTTTATTTCTGCTTTGACTTTTGTTATTTCCTTTCTTCTACTGGCTTTAGGGTTTTTTTTTTTTTGTTGTTCTTTTTCTAGCTCTTTGAGATGTGAGATTAGGTTGTTTCTCCGAGCTCTTTCTTGTTTCTTGATATGAGCCTGCACTGCTATATATTTTCCTCTTATTACTGCTTTTGCTGCATCCCATACATTCTGGAAAGTGGTGTCCTCTTTGTCATTCAACTCAGAGTATTTTAAAATTTCTTCTTTGAAATTAGTCCAGTGATCTTCCAGTAGTGTGGATTTCAATCTGCTGAAGTGGGAGGGTTCTTTGTTTTCTTTTCATGATTTATTTCTAGTTTGATGTGTTTGTGATCGGAGAAGATAGTTGGAATGATTCGGTCTTCATATATCTGTTGATGTTTGTCTTGTAGCCCAGTATGTGATCAATTCTGGAGAATGATCCATGTGTGCTTGAGAAAAATGTGTACTCAGATTTTTTTTGGGTGCAATGTCCTATAGATGTCTGTTAAGTCCATGAGTTCTATGTCTTTATGTAGGGCTCTAGTGTCTTTGTTTATTTTTTGTCT